ATTCGGGCGTATTTTGGAATTTTGAGAGACATCGTAGTCGTAAAAGGGTCGGTGTAGTTGGGCGACCACGAAACGAATTAAAAGCATTAACAACATCTAGACTCCGCTTATTCCGACACAAGCCTTAATAGCGACCACACGTATCAGACAGCCGCGTGGTGCTTAAAGAAGGTACTGGAGAGCGCATCGGCAGCCGCCGGAGTAAGGAAAGTTGGCCGAAGACACCAGCAGCTACTACACTGTGAACGAGATGAAAACTAGGAAGTCTCCATCCATGTACGCCATGCCTCGCACTGTCCTAATTCAAAGCTCCTGTTCTTTCTCTCCCAACGCTTTAGTCTGATGGTATGCCATCTCTTTCCCCTCATCATCGCGGCGCTGAATGTCCACTGGACCGGCTACATGCTATGCAACTTGGAGCGGAACGTAACGCCTCTTGAAATTTTGGCTTTTATTGGCCCGCATCGAGCCGATATGAACCGAACCTGCGTGAACGCGGGGTACCGTAGTACAGCGGTATTGATTGTGAGCCGTTCTGCGCTTTCGGCCGCCGCATATTAGGCAGCAGCTCTCTCCGCTCTTCCTCAGCCTCGCTGAATTGTAAAATGTATAAAGTCATCATTCCCACCGTTTATGGGTCATATCCCGTTGCTCTCATCACACGAATTTTGCACTTTATATAAGAATATTCAAGTCATTCATCGAAATGGCCAGTCAAGCGGAAAGCCAAGGGGCGAAATTCTTTGGAAAAGATAACCCTTTTGAACTACGAGTACTCGAAAACAATGCCGCTTCAGCCACGGATGACGATCTACTCAAGGCTGCGGAATACCTTGAAAGTATTTTCGGAGACTCACACGCATGGTGTGGTGGCTGGGCCATGAGATTGCGAGGGTCTGAGCGACACACAGAAGATTTGGACATTGTGATACAAGCTCCTTCTACTGCAAACATTTGGGAGAAACTTAGGCCGCACAGCAGGTCGGCAGCTTTCCAACCCTGGTGTCTGCGTTGGCTAATTCCGTCCAGGATCACCCTATACTATCATAAACAGATTCTCGAAGAAGGTGGTGACCAGTTCAAGATATTTGTGGATTCGCACGACAAGCAACTTGTCTGCGTCGATGTCATTTTGGCAGGTATGTAGGTGGCGCCCGAGACCTTATCAACCACATCTCATTCCAGTTTTTTCGGGACAGGGCGGCTTGAGACGCCTACGCTTGAGACGCAAGACGTCGTGGAAGTAGTCACTCCAGCGGAGACGCTGACTGGGGCGGAGGGCAAGAAGCGAGTCATGTCTTTGCGCTGGCAAGTCCGCCAAAAGCTTCATGCGATAGCTACTCGCCGTAAAGATACGGACTGCACGGACTTGGTTTGGCTGATCGAAACGTATCGCACCGAAATTGGCGGCTGGATCCAGGACGAAGTCAAGGATAGGCGCGAAACCTTTTTCCGATGGTTTTATGACAATGAGATGGATGATGACGAAGTGGATGCGATGAAACAGTATTTAGGCTTGGAGGGCGACCAGCGCTGATGGACGCATTGAGCGGGACATCACCCGAAGATTCGAGTGTCATTCCAGCTTCCACCCAGAGAAAACACAAGCTATCTTGTCCTCGTTTTAGCTACTGCTAAGCACAACAGCTGGTGTTAATAAATGCGCTTTGGGGGTCATGTTTGTATTTCCACTGCTACTGACTTGCCACTCATGACGCATCCGACAGCATAGTCCAGGGGTCTTCTGAGCCTATATGCCGATACTGAGTGACGTACCTTGACGGTGGTCGCGAGCAGTCCAGTCTCTGCTCCTTCGTTCGCACATACGACTGCCAGATCTCCCGCTTCTTCTTCGGACGCGTTGGCCACCACCGTGGGCAGACGCCCTCCTTGGCTTGCATGTCCCGTACCCACCGAACATCGTGCATGCCGTTCAAATCCAGATTCTTTTCTCCCCACTCCTCGGATAGATTGGTTCCGTCAACAAAATCGCACAGTTCTACATGACTGCGGCGGTCTATGCAGCTCTGAGCGAAGTCTTTCAGACTGGGGTATGGTAGCCCACGAAGGCTGTGAGTTACATCAATAGAACGGCAGTCCAAATGCACATCGCAGTCAGGTATAATGAGAAATTCGTGGTTGCTTCCGCACGTTCCGAATCGACTATACGCATGTATCCGAGAAACTGGCGCAGGCTTTTTCGGCTCGAGTGAAGCGAAGGCATCGTCCGATCGAAAAAGCTTTTCGGCTACCGTGACAAGATCGGCGGGTACGCAGATCTCCCAGGTCTGCAATGTCATGTTAGAGAGGTCGGTCAGTGGCCGTCTCAACGACGCAGGGCACTAGGGTATTAGGGCAACGCACAGTTCTCATACGACGGGCGCCGTAAAATTTGAGGGCCGAGATGCCAACACAACAACATGGTATTTCATGCTCGTTAAGGGTCTGTATAACAGCAAGTGTTTTATTGGTATCCTCAAGGCTGCGGCTCATGGCTAGATCAGCACGTATCTGGCTCGTGGCTGCGCGAGATTCCGCTAGGTAGAGTTGTTCAGGATGAAGATGGATGGAGGAGGATGGAGGTCAGGCCAGTGGCGCATGAGAAGATCGTTACGTCAGCTAGCTGTGGAGCACAGGATATCCGTCCCCGATCAAGGCCCAGCACCCGGACAGCTTGCGGATCGACACCGCAACCGGGAGGTGCATTAGACATGAGTGTATAGATATTGCATAATCATTCATGACATGAGTTGAGTAGTTTGTACAAGGTTTTGACCTGTTGATAGGTAAAGCACTGAAGGTACTGCGAGGGCAGCGATGGACTGTAAAGTCTCAGCAGGGCCCGCGTGTGACCCCCGCGCGGCCCCGGTACCAGTAGCCAGATGCGCAGTAAAACCCGCTAAAAAGTTGGGATCGTTGCCCCACCCCCAATTCCCAGGCTTTGGCAATCCTATTGCGCCCATTTTGTTGTACTCGTGTTCTGTAACAATTCCCTCTACTACCACTGTCGTTCTGCGTGACAAGTTCCTCCGCTACCGCCGCACTGTCAGAGAGGTGGCCCTGTGCGGCTGCGGCTCCCGGCGCTTCTTAGCTGTTTCCGGTTTTCACCTCGAAATACTCTCGGAAGAGGGACGTAGGTCTTGCCGACACGGGGCACTTCACCTCTGACTTGGTGCTTTCGCTTCCCGCCCTCCCCAACAACTCTTGCCAAAGACGAGACCTGCGCTCGTCAGCGGCCTCAACGTATGAAGTTCCGATGGAAAGGTCGGAAGATTGGTAAGCATTTCAAGATTAACATCAACTTAGGTTGCGATAAACTGAATGAGTACTATGCAAAGCTAGATGAGACCCGGTATACTATACTTCGGCAATACTGAACCCTGCTTCACGTTGGGGATACTTCGAGAGTACTTGGACAGATACAGCGCAACGACCCTGGCTGCAGGAGGCGAAAAGGATGGTACAGAAACTGTGAGAGGAGGAGTACAAGCCCTCGCCGACACGCAGATATGCAATTAAATGCCGTGATTAAGTACATGCCTGATGCCACTGCAGATTCGTTGGTGGATGTGTCGAGAGAAGTCGAGAATAGTATCATAGTGGAGGAGAGGCCGAGATGGAGTAACTACAGGGGCAATTATCACGTGAGGTGTAATTCAATCATTTCAACTCAAACTTCCACCAACCCAATTTCGGCTCAAAGTGGTTCAACTCCACGGGGAGCATGCTAAGTAATCCGTCAACGCAACTCAATCATGAGGCAAAATTGATGGAATTGAGTGGATGATCACCCTGGCTACGAGACCACCAGTCGAGGGGACTGCCGTCCATTCGGAAAGTTGGCTGCTCAATGAAAGCATCGAACGTCCACCAGTGATGCCCACACAAAATGTGGACGACGGGCTGACCGTGGTAAGCGGTCATCGTGATTGTGTTTCCTGGACACTGGGCAGCTCCTGGGACTATGTATAAAAAAATGCTCCAGCCAGATTATAGTGGGGCAAGGCATAAGCGACAAGGTAAGACCAGCCATCCATAAAATGTGCGTGCCTTTGCTGATCTGCTTGTATATCCGTCCACCAAGAAACACAAGAGTCCCCAAGGAGTTTGCTGTTACCTTTCTTATTCGCTAGCGCAGCTGCGACCTTGGCTACCAGGCGCTATGATGGGAAGACGAAGGTGGCTACCAGTAAGATAGCCCAAGAGGCGCTATAACGCTCCACCCTAGCCGGCGTCGTTGCATCCTGCGGGGCTCAGCCTGATCATGAAAAGATGTTTGGCCGACGCGAACTTCCCAGTATCAAATTTCCCGTTCATTCCCCCCAAACTATTGTACTTAGACTCGCCTTGTGTTTGAACAGCGCAGGTCCACGCTCTCGCTGACTGTTATTTTCGGCGCGCACACACGACATCGCACTGCATTATCGGAGGGACTTGCAGAGCGTGTTTGTTCTGCCGGATCCCCCGCTACACAACGAATACCCACCGAGCCAAGGAATGCCGGCGCAGCTTCCTCCTTTCTGGCATTTATTGCGGCAGATTCGGCTTCTGCATCGCGCGCAGTCTAGTACACAAGACGTACGAGAGCAGCTTCACAGCCAGACGAGCTGCGTTGGAGGTTCTTCAACACGTCATTACTGTGGTACCAATGGGGCTCCGCAAGACGGTAGATAACGAGTAGACACATGCACACGCAGTCTAATTATCGAGTCAATTCAACAATTTGCCCTTCCGCATTCGCGTGCCGGCAGTGGAAAAACCTCGAGGGAAAACCACTGCTAAAGGGCAGAGTAAATAGAAAGCTAAATCCAATACTCCTCCACCAAGTCATTTTACGAGTCAATCGACGAAACAGCCGGATTCATTGTCAGCAAAACAGAAGCGATGGCCAAGTCAAGATCGTCCCTAGTCTCGCCCCTAGCCTCCTTGCCAAAGGCAAAGGCTAGATAGTTCTTTGCATCTCAGCCAGGCTCTTCCTAAGCCCTTGTGCTGTGGCCGAGAGCCTCTCCCGGTGAAGCCTCTGAAGATCAGGTTCTGAGCCTATACGTTCCAATTCTTCGTCAGCATCTGCGAAATAGAATTTGGACAGAATGCTCTCGGAAGAGGCGAAATGATATGTCGCTCTGCTACCTGCCGGGCGACGTTGTCGACGAACGTTTTGCGACCCACCTGGGGATCGAATTAGCAGCTAATCCCTGATTACTCAAGTAAAACGTGCTTTGTAGTAGGACTCGAGCTCTGTTAGCGCCTCTATGCATGCTTGCTCATCCATGTCAACTGTAATTCTTGCCTCAACGGCGGACAGGAACCGGTTGATGTCGTCTTGGTGGTTACTGATGTGAAGTTTGCCCCTCCACTCATGTTGAGTCACTTCATTCACGGCGGAACGCATCGCCACCTTCTGAGCATCCAGTCTCGATTTCTGAACGTTATCAGTGTAATAGTGATTGTAGGTCATAGGGCCGCCTTGCTCATCATCGATGAGCTTGTGAAGCTCGGCCAACGCCTCAGCCTCACCATTCTCGAGCCAATCCTGCAGAATCGACCGAACCTCCACCCGCAATTTCTCCGCGGGGATGAGCCGTTTGACGGCGAGTTCGACCCATTGCAATGCTATTGTCATGATCTTTTGGAAATGACCTTCCGCAATCTCGCGGGGTTCGAGGCGCGCCGAGATGTTACCCGCCTCCGCCTTCGGATTGAAGAAGATAAGGATAAAGAGGAAGCAAATAAGGCCGCGGCCCGACTCCAATATCTTCTCAATTTCTTAGAAAAGTTAAAGCTTGTTGAGAAACGAAACGAATACTTTAAGCTGGTTGACGCCCTTCGAGCTCGAGGTCAATCAACTGCTCATCTTCGCCAGATCAACGAAACAGACCCTCGGAAGCCGAAAGAGATTCCTGGTTGCAAAAAATCATCAGTTATAGGTGATTTGTTTCAGAAGAATGCGGAAACGACTCAGCTGGTCCCCAATCTCATGGATTATCTAGCAGATCTGCTGCCACTTCCGAAGGGCACGCAACATCAACCGACACACAAAAAGAGAGCGCCAAAAGTCTGCAAAGCCAGAACCCCAACACCGACGTTGTGTTTAATTTGCGACCAATCTTTCGCAACAAGAGCAACACTCTCACGGCACGTTCAACGTTCGCACCCACTCGAAGAGGCATTTGAGTGTCCCGCATGCCGGAAAACTGGGCATCATGTCCTTGTCCCTGCAGGAACCATTGCATGGGCAGCACACGTGGAGCAACAACACGGCAAACAATTCGCTCCTGATCCTTACTTTTCGGAAAAGCCTGCGTTTTGCCTTATCTGCTCGACAGAGCATTCTGTCCGAGGGTTCAGCCTACACTTTTCTAAGGCCCACGAAAAAGAATCTCAATATCCATTTGAGTGTACCGCATGCCGCCAAAATGAACGAGTGGCGCAGATCCGGGATAGGAATACCTGGATACGCCACGCTATGGAAGTACATGGCAGTATGGACCAATACTATGGCAGAATTTTGAGAGCCAGCCCATGCGCGCCGTTGCTAATCAGGAAGAGGAAACGAAGTCCATTTGTGGCTGATAGCGATATAGATGAAGATTCGTCTCGATTTGTTGTCAGGAATATGGAGAATGAGGAATTTTGGGTTACAGGTAGAGACTCGGATTACCTGGACCTATCTGACGATCGTTACTAGGAGGTAGGATAAGAGTCTGGTACTGGCGAGGCCGCTCATAATTAGACGTTGTTGAATGTTATTGCTTTTTAGTGGCTTCGGTTTATATGCAGCCACATTATGAAACTCTGCACGATATGTAGGCACATGCTAATAATGATCACCTCCTGCTTTTTTAGTATAACTTCCTTTCCTGGCCCTTTACCCAGTGTTCCTTGCTTAGATAAGCCACGGCTTTTCGTGGGCGGCCCCTACATTCGCGCCCGGGCGCGGATTAAGAATGCCGCGCCCCCTTCGCAGTGGTCAGTGATTAAATTTCAGTGGCTTGATCGCCTAAATACAGGGCCTCTTGTGCCGCACAGTCCGCTGCCGCAGCCTCCCAGATGTCACCCATGCCTCGTCTGTCAGAAAATGGATTCGCTTCCATCTCAGCTGCTACCATTGCTTCAACCCGGCCTTCTTCTGCCTTGTCCCAATCCAGATACGACATCATTTCTTCCTTCGTCCAGTCTCTAGACCCTTCTTGCTCTTTACATCGCCCACCCATCTGCTTCCAATCAAGACACCAAGCAAGCTCCGCCCTGTTGTACCGCTGGGGTAAACCCGTTGCCTTTCGATACTGTTGGTTAGTCTTGATACTGCCACGCGGCTGCGCACCGTACCAAGTCTGTCTCGACTCAACATATCTCTGGTAGATTGCTTGCGGGTCATTATATCTGAGCTTTGGCGCAGTTGCCTTTCCCGCCACTGCTGGCTCGGCTACTGCTGCCTGTTGTACGACTGTTGAGCTGACTATAATGCAATCTGCCACTGTCTCGACTGTAGATGTATAGCTACCAGACTCACGATCTGCCAGCGCCTGGACTTCTAATGCCTGGACGTGGCCCGTTGGTGCTTGCATCGCTACCATGAGATGTTCGTCTTTCTGACCTATGGTCGCATGAGCTATCGTCGTCTCTGCGGCTGTCGTCGCCACTGCTTCTGATGCCACGATGCTCATTGTGTGTGCTGTTGTTTCGGTGACCGTTGCTGGTTGCTGAAATAGCTCTGTATATCGTAAGGGGCATGACTTTGAAGTCATTGTGTGACCTATTGTGTGACACATGCTGCATTTAGGCAGTGCCTTTGGACGTGTTGCTGCCTCAATTGTCTCGAACGCGCTAGGCTCTCGCCTTGTGCTAGTTGCTGGCTGCTTTCGTCTCTGGTTGAGCTGGCTTGGGACTTTTCTAGGCTCTAATATTGGGTGTGGTCTTGAAACATCTCGTTTCAAATGCCAATGGGGATGGAAATGCTCGAGTAACAAGGCTCCGCCTTCTTCCTCGAGCTTCTTCAAAGCATGGACACACGGCAGCCCAAAGGAGGATGTTAAGGTCATGCTGCAGCTTCTAAGTGGCTTGGAAAGCAGTTGTCGTTGTTCCTGCACTTTACGGAGGGCTCGATGAGAGACCCAGCCCCGCACCGCCTCAAACACCACACCAGAGACGTCCAGAGGCATCGATACCTGCTGAGAAGCACGCACATACTTCAATTCCTTCAGCTGGTTGGTGACTGCAGGTCTCATGGCTTGCCAGACATCGAATAGATCGAGGGTAGATATCTTGATGTGTGCTTTCAATAATGAGTGAATCCCCTCGGCTCTAGAAGACAGATTAGTCCCTCCGCCTTCAACCAAACTACAAGCCACCTGCCTGGAGGTAGCCACATTGCCAAAGTGCAAATATCGGTCGACCCATGCTCGAACAATTTTCTCTTTAAACGGGTCGAGCCAGATTGTCCTAACATAGCCGACTGCGTCTGTAAATTTCTCGGCATATTTCCGCTCGAAATCGGCCAGGCGCTCTTGAAATATCATTTGCGTCGGAGAGGCTACGAGTGCATGCCAAGTCTTGTAGAACTCATCCCATCTCCCTTCTCCTTGGCTACCTCCAGCCAGAAAGGCAGGCCGGCAATATTGCAACACCGCCTTGTTTACATGCCAAGTGCAAAGGAGACCTCCGGATGAAGGGAACCAGGTTGCAGCCGCATTCATCGCGGCCAAGCACCGGTCTGTCAAGACAATGGAGGGAAGGTCACGCCGATAGAGCGACCGAAGATGTTGCAAAGCCCATGAGTAGTCCTCTTCGGTCTCACCAGAGAGGAACGCAAAAGCAATACAAAAGGAGCGCTCGCAAGCGTCAACGCCAACCATATCGAGACGTGGCATGCTGTGTTTGTTTGTCTTGTAGGTACAGTCAAGGAGCAGAACATCGGGGTTGCATTGGAGAAATGCGATTGAGTCCGGATGGGCAAAGAAGATTGCTGTAAGCCGATTATCGGAATCCAGCCGAACCTTGAAGTGGAAGCCTTCCTCATACAATTGGTCGACTAGTGCTTGTATGCTGCTTTGGCCCTCCCGTAGGTCTCTCCTTGCTGCCCCAATTCGATTATAGATATCTTTCTGCGTTGCAAGTGTCGTGGAATTGTTACGGAGGTACGTCCTGATTTCACGAGGAGCAGCTCCAGCAGCCGCAAGACTAGATATGACCCTGGAATCACCCCCAGTAAGTTGGCGATGTGCTGGGTGTGCAGATGGGTCTTCGCTTGGCGGGTGATTGTGGAGAGAGAAATCCAGTCCGGGTCGATGACTGAGAACCCATGCCGCTCCATCCAAAGACTGTTTGGCAAGCACCGAAAACTTGCATCCTGTTCCTCGGCTACAGGTACGCCGTTTTCGCTGTATGGAGGCATTTGGCTGCTGCCCGTTGCGATCGCAAGCAAACACAACTTTAACCCGGCCATTGGGTGTTTTCGTCGACTTTCCCGTGGTAAATGCATAGCCTCTAGGTTTTGCCCATGAATTAATGGCGCTAAGGAGAGATTCGCGGGAACTGTATACACCCTCTGGAGGGAGCACATCATCCGGGAATACTGCTTGGGACATGGCGAAAGTATGAAGTGGTTAATGGTTGTGCGATTGTGTGTTGAAAGGGGGCGCGGGAAAGTTAGTCAGCAGGGCGCGGCATTCTTAATCCGCGCCCGGGCGCGAATGTAGGGGCCGCCCTTTTCGTGCACGTGGCCCACTAAAAGCCGCGCGACAACTTTTAGTCTGCCTAATCACGTGATTGGGCAGCACATGATCAGCTCCACGGCTAGTCCAGCATTATGCCCCTCACTGAGTGCCCCGCGAAGAAACTAGACAAAGAAAATATATATAACTACAGGTTGAGGGCCATTTTAATGCTTCTACCACATAAGGGACACGAGGACGGCTCAAAAGCAGTCAGACTATCCTGATGGGTTCAGCAGTTGAGATACTCCAGCTAGATGAAGAGAAGGAGCACTTGCGCAACTTGCTGAATTACACCGAGCACCACCCAGACGGATGGCACCCGACCAATTACGACGGGATGCATGAGTACTCCCACAAAGACGTTCACCCCATCATTCAACCTATCATTGAAGCAGTACGTATATTGACGCTACTAAGGTAATAAGATCTAACAGTTCTTGAAGGATAAAAAGGGCATTCTCCTGCGTATCTCTGGCGACTCTAGGAACCTCCGGTATGGGTTTGAAGTTGGCGATATAATACCAATCTCGGGCGAACGATACTCGATCATTGAAGGAAATGATCATATTCAGCTTGCACTTTATGAGAAAGGACATATTTTAAAAAAAGTCGTGGTGCGAGTTGAAGATAATTGTATATTAACTCTTCTTTGGATAGTCAACGTTAAGTAAACTCTTCTTATCGTTATAGTTACTATCGGGTCTGATGAATACTAGAGATATTTCTTATTATGTTACTGTTCTAAGACTGATGGCATGAGACTCTCGAAAGATTCAGGGTTTATGGGGATATCAACATCGTGGGCAGTCTGGCAAGGAGTCTCAAAAGGAGCCTGATAAGCATGTTGTGGAGTGAGACTGGCAAAAGCGTTGGGGTCCATGTGGAAGCTAGCCGGATAAGGAGCATCGTAATTGCCCTGCCAGTCGAAGTGAAGACCGTTGAACGTGCCAGGGTTGACAGTAAAGCTGGCGTGGTGCTCGATGCGATTGATCGTATTCCCGAAAGCCGGGCTGTCGAACCCAATGGCCTCAGCATTCTGCGTATGGTTTGCGGTTGGCGAAAATCCCGTATAAGAAAAGCTGCTAGCACGAGGCAACGGGCAAGCAGGTTGCTCTTGTGTGGCGTAATAGCCTGTTGTACCGGAGGTAGCGAGAGAACGTAGCGTTCCAGCCGCTTCCGTCGCAGTCATTTGCGTTTGACAATGTTCGGGAGAGATTTGCTTTCCACTTTCGTCGGGCCAGAACATTGAGCTCTGATAGTCCAACAATTTTTTTGCTAAGCGAAAAGTGTCATATTGCTCCGGGGGGGTCATTATTTTAATCGAATGGAGGTGCTGTATGATGGTGTCGTAATCTTTCAGGGCAAGACCACGGTCGGTGTCCCATCTATGATGATTAGCATATGCTCACATCTGATAAACAAATACATACATGGAATCTGGTATGATATCATAAAACAGTATCCCCAGTGCGCTTCTGAATAGTTCATCCTCGTCTGCGACCTCACTGGTTCCATCGTTGTCGCATCCTTGGCTATTGAAGCGTGCTAGACGACGAAAAAACGAAATTCGGCGTTGTCCAGCTTTGATGATAACAAGACAAGTTGTAGTCACGTCCTCAGAGGCATCACATCTCAGAAAACGTAAAAAGTCCCGGACTTGACCCTTCCTGATAGATTCGGTTTCAGGCTTCCAACGTCGGAAATTCAAGTACACAGCAACCGTTGTGAACCTCCATAAGACCTTGTAAGTCGACAATTGCTTGTAGAGGTGAATCGCGGAGACGGTGAAGAATTGGCGGTATGCGTCAGTCGAGGTGAATGGCCCGTGCTCGACAGGAAAGTTGTCTGGCTCTGGCCGCCAAAAGCACCCTGGATCATTCTCCCATAGGCAAAAATGACCAGAAACTGAATCGTTTACCTTCAACTGTAGACGTTCGATTGACTTGATTGCCGCAGCGTTATTGACGGCCGGTTTGCTGCCTCGCTCCCTAAAGTTGTGGTGGAGCGACTGGTACCATAGTTGAAGGATTTGGCGATTCCCTTTGTTTTTGAGAACCACATCTGCTGTATCGTCGTCTTTGTATGGAAGTAGTAGGGACCGAAGCTCCCGAATCGTCAGTTTCGCAGCGCTGTAACGCTTCGTTTCTGCTTTGCGTATCACCATTGTATAAATGAAGGGAGAAGATGTAGATGCAAGAATGAGAGGCTGATTGTGCAAGTTTCTGTCTCTGATCAGGAGGTCTGCGGGGTTAGAATACGCTAAGAACGCCACTTGACATACGCTAACCAAAAAAACGAAAAAGTCGGGTGCGCGCACCCGACTTTTTCGTTTTTTTGGTTAGCGCTGTCTTTCGCTTTATTGTTATCAAGTTGCGAAAGACTATTTTCTTTCAAAATACAGTTTAAGACCTGTCCTAAACTCCAAATTAGACAAAAGGATAAATGACAGCCCTTGTGTACACATTATGCGTAGTCGCTGTCATCATCTCCTTTGCACGCGTGGGCAGGATAATTTTAGATCATGAGTGTATATCAGGCAATCTGGCTGGTTAGGCAAGGATCTTTTGGCTCTCCACCAGTCACATACACGCTTCGATGAGCGAGGCTGATCGGCCCACTCCCAAGCAAAACGACATTCAGTGTGTCGCGGAATAAGATGGTTTATCCTTTCAGCGTCGTCACTGATTTTCATATATTTATAGCTGTGTCTAGGTAGATGATAGAGAGTCAAATGTAAAGACCACACCGCTCTTCGGGATACGGCCTATCAGCGCAATGCAGCCCATCGGCGTGACTGAGTACAGTCTTGCCCTCACTGTATCTGGCCTCGAAGTGGCTCACATTGGTCTTTGCCTTGTTCGCGCTCACTACTCCCCTAAGCAATTTTCGCAAAAAAGACTCTATCTCCTTCGAGCCGCTCTTGTCATTTACCCTATCGTATCAGTCGCATTGATCTCGGCGTTCTTTTCCACGCATCGCATACCGAACACCCCACTGTCAAACGTAGTATTCTACACATGGGAGCTTATTAGTGGGCAATGCCTCAAAGCAGAAATTGTAAGATATACTAAATCTTTGGTGAGAAAGTGCTAATCACCAGCTTAGGTTTATCTCTGGCTTTCTATACTTCCATTTCAGGGTGTTAGGAAATACGCTATCATGGCATGTGCCTTCCTACTTAACACCACTGTTCCGGCTTTAGGGATATGGTGCTTTGTGACTACGCAAAGGCAGTGGCTTTGGATATCCATTACACTCAACAGTGGAGGCTTCGCACTGACAGGTCATTATCTCACCAATGATGCGGCTCTAGCTCATGTGCGCTATCGACAACACTGGCTTTGGCTCGCCCTGCTCTCCGGGGTTGGCCTTGTGCTCGGGCTTGTGGCTGCTTTTGTGCCAACTGAAAAGGCGCCCACTCTACAACATGTACAGTACTTCTCTCAATCATTGATTGGCCTTTCTTTCAGCTGTGTCATCCAGGTCATGGGTGGAGTATCTGCACACCGGTCACGGAGGCAGGCCAAGGAGGCAGGTCAAGCTCCGCGGGACGGAAATACATTCCAACTCGGGAAGTCCCATCAGAGTCTGATTTCAAAGCGTGTGGACCTGGAAGACATCACCACTGGGGATCTTGAAAGCCTGCCACCGGAGGAGGGGCTGGATGTACTGGTGAAGACCGAGGGAGGCGAGCCACGGCCTGACAGTACAGCGCTGCCAGACTTCTACCTGTTCTAGATTCAATTGGTTTATATTCAATAAAACTTTGTATTTATTTATACTCCTTTTTCCTAATAGCGCACGCTAAAAGAAAAAAGTTGACCGGCGACCTCCGCACAGACTGCGAGCCAGTTCAAAGATTAGTGGGATTTAATTCAAACTATAGTATTATTTATAAATACACCAGTAGCACCCATTACTTCTACTATAGCCATACCTACTGTGTGGGCTCTATACATTATGACTACCTATCACCTCTTAGGTACTGATAGGGATAGAGAGGTAGTATATCTTTTCTGCTTTTTCTTTCTTTCACTAATAGTGAACAGGGCGCCGAAGTGATCAAGCTAGAGCTCTGGATAGCCGGTATCCATCATAATCTAACGGACTGCCTACCAAATTCCGTCACAAAACTCGCTTTGAACAACCATTACGCCGTATTCGCCGAGACATGTGGCGACCTTGACAAACCCAATCTATCCAAAGCTCGCAAAATACTGGAGGGCTCTGAGAAGAAGTTTGGTAGCTTGAAGACGCAACTGAAGAGTGTCTCAACAGGTGCATACATTGGTATCCGCACAGGAACGGAGAGATTGATCCTTGCAAGGTCCGAGGCCGATGTCAGACTAGTTGTACAGTTGTCACACACTTTGGAGACGGCAGAGGAAGATGAATGGGTCACACTCCCCCATGAACGTGGCAAGCTGACAGTCGACGGCTAGACACCGAGGCCGCCCGTTTCGATAATAGTTGCCACGCCCTCTGCATTCAGCTGAGGAAGATGTATGTCTCGTCTCCTATGGAAAAGCCTTCAAAAGATTTAAATGTTCGCTGCCCGTGGATTAGAATGTACCTGACTCAGAACTATAATCACAGCCTACCATTATGACTTCACGGATCACTCATAACTATAGCTTGTAAGTTATCGCAGCCCTTTGCACAACGAAGGCTACTAACGTTAGTTAGAATTCCAGACACTAACGAGGACGAACCGGCTCAGACCGTCCAGAATCCAGCAGATCACCAGCCAAAATATGCCGAAAAACAATACACTGCTCTCGCCCAGGGCATGCTCATTGTTCTACGAAGGAACAAGGAGGTCCAACCATGTTCAAACGATGACGAAGTTCCCCGAGGCTTATTGCCGCTGCTTGAATCGAGTGACTGGCCTATTAATGGAATCGATGACCTCAGCGACAAGTTTCAAGCTCAGCTACGTGAGGACAGGGTGGTCGGGCTACCAGATTGTTTCTTCCCACTGCAGCGCCATTACACGCATGACGAGCAAGCCAAAGCTGCAGCACCGAGCTTATGCTATCTAAGGGAAATTGGTATCATCTCGAAGATTGGACGCTCTAATGAGGAGCAACTTAGAACTATGGCTAAGGTCTGTGGAAGATTATGTTTTAAAAATACTTTTGAGCTGCCCACCATTCTTGACGATACGATGTTGCCCGATCTGCTTAGCAAGTTCACAATCATGGAGGTAGCTCGCAATGGCCAGTCTTGATTAAGACATCTATCTATTACTACTACTACAGTTAATAAGCCGACAGTCGACGGCTGCATACTCAGGCTGCCCGTTTTAATGAATATAAGGATACATAACTAGTCGCTCTCCTCTTTAAAATCGTCTTCTGTTCTTATTACAACGGGGATACGTCGGATCTGCTTCCGAATTTGACACTTCAGGGACTGACCTTGAGCACCACATTGGACCTGTCGACTTTTTGAAGTTGCTCATCTCTAGTCCTTAAGGTGCCGCTCTTTTTCTGTGCTCAAAGCCCAGGCCGAGTGCACCACGAATATGGCTGACAATTCTAAGCCCACTATGACAACTCAAGTCGCCCCTTGCGACTCATCCATGAAGCCTGCCAATACCGGACCTGAGACTGCTCCTGTCCTCACCCAGAATAAGGCACCAGCTGCGTGTGCTCCTGTCTCATACGATGTTCAGCCCACAGATCCTCTCCTCTCAGAGAGCGCTATCGACTCGCCTACCAGTGACGACTACGTTGATGAGAGCGCTATTGACGATGACGACTCTTCGGATTGGGAGGACTCTGTACAAGAAGCGAATCGAGCGTTGACTTGAATCTCTTCCAACGTGTTGAGCCCAAGGCTAACCTAGTCTCCGACCGTTCGCTCATCACTCATATGCTTGCGCAGACAGAGCAAGTGCCAAAAGAACTTCAGCAACAAGCGTCCCACTCTGCCTCTGCTATTATAGCCCTGGGAGCCTCTCCTAATGATAAAGATGACGGCCCTCCAATGATGACGGGCGTGCGTCCTTCCAACATCGGACCTGTCATCGAGGTACCTCGCTCGAGCACCCAGCCTACTGTCGCGCAAGCAGTTTTATCACCGCAAACAACTCGCCGCAATATGTTTGCTACTGAGCTGACTAAGTCTCTTCGCCGCCATCTTCTCTGGGAGCGTCAGCAGAGAACCTCGACTGCCAATGCCGTGCTCAGGCGCCGCCATGCCTCCCACGATGTGGCCAACCTGAGGCAGTTTCCAGAAAAGCCCTGTCTGAAGCAGAGCGAGGACGCCAACGCTAGTTGGAATCAGCATTTAATTACGAACGCCTTTGACGGCTACCATTCTAGAGGCTGGTGATGCCCATGTATATCGTTTCTAAGCCACGAAAAGGGTCTTAATTGTGGCTGGTAGGAACAGCCATATTCAGTACACAGAACGAATTATAATCCATTAGTGTAACGGGCAAGCCGCTTGCGCGGCGGCTGTGCCGCCGAGCTTCTAGAACCTTCTATTGGTTCGGAGCTATGAAAGTGTTGTGATGTTCTCATTTAGTTGATTTAGTTCCTTTCTTCTTCATCTTGATAGTAAACAGCATAGGAACTAGATAGTTGAATCAACTTACTAGCAATCCATCACAATTAGTTTCCGAGCCGGCTCGTTGGCGTACTATAGTGTAGCCCAATACCCACGAACAGCAAGTGCATATCAAAGTTTGCGATCTAGGGACCCATGCGCTATGCGCACCTCGAGTGCCAATCCTGGTCTTGCGTGGTTCAGCTAACCAATGTCCACCGTGCTTTCCTTAACGCACCCCATTACTGTGACTTGTAGGTGTTAGGTGATAGTGATGAGACATAGCACCCCTTCTCCCAGTGCAGCGTTGTACAGGCCTCCTGCCTCGAGCAGCCTCTGGTCAGTTAGTAATAAGCAGTCTTGCCGTCGCCTCGCCACTGACTGACCAATTTGGGCCTCTTTTCTTGACTTGCCAAGTTTGCCGTATTTCGCGTGCTTCCCATTGTCTCTCACGGAACATGCTTCCTTCTTCTACCTTATTCCATCAGGCGTCTATTGCAAACACTCATCATGATGTCAATCAAGCTTTTACTCAATGAGCAACTGATTGGCTCGAAATTGGAGATCATCTCATTCTTCTGAAAGCCATGTATGATCGCCAGGCAGGCAAGTTGCTGAATGAGAACGAGGTTGAGGCTGCGAAATAGTGTCTTCGCCAGATAACACCGTCTTCTCCTCTGGGATGATCACCGTCCACAACAGAAACCAGGGCCGGTGGGAGAACGCAGAGAGGCTTGAGGTACAGGTGGTGGAAACTCGCGAGAGGAAGCTTGCGGAAGACCATCCCTCCACGCTGACTAGCATGGCCAATTTGGCATTGGCGTATGGGAACCAAGGCCAGTGGGATGAGGCGGTGCTGGAAGGAAAAAAAGCTTGGGGAAGATCACCGCAGTTTAGTTCCTTCAACAAGATTAGACTATGGTAAATTGTACAGTAACTCTGTACATATTCCGCCTAGGCTTAGTAGGCTTCGGCAGAAAAGAATGAATATGGCCAACGAATAAATTAACCTCTCTTTCAATAGTCTAGAGAAGACACTGCAGCCCTCGCCACGGAAATGGTGCTACTCACAGCGGCAACCTCCGTCGATTTTAATAAGCCAACGGCTACTCACTATTGCGGGATCTATTTGGTCTGTAGGGACTGACCCAACTTGGCCAAGTCTTCCTGAGCATCTTGCAGAAGCTTTCGAGTATTTGAGTGGAGTTTGGGAAATGCCTTGTCAAGTTCGACCATAAAATGCACGCGCTGGCGGGGAGCCACGACTCCGATTCTTTCTGGAGTGCGCAAGGGCTCCTCCTTAAACAACATGTCCCTCTCGTCGTCGCTGAATGCATTGCCCCTATCATCTCCGCCGCAGCGAATTGATTGGGTTGAGCCCGCTTCGTGGGAGCTGGGGATTAGACAGTCGTCTAGGCCGTATGGTATTCTTCGATTCTTCTAAATCTAGCTGGCAGGTACTGCCTCGCTTAGCAGCAGAACAGTCGGCGTCACTCCTGGCTATACCCGCTTGGATGACGAGTATCCGTGCGTAAAAGGCTTGTCCCGTGAGCCAGGTTCTCGGGAATAATCTCAGAAGAAGATTTAGCATAAGTAACTCCCTAGAGATTAAGATTAGTCTTTTTCCAGTTCTACTTTATTCATTCTTAGGGGAGCCTACCGTCGTTGAATGCGCTTCGCGTGAGTGGCGTCCAGATGCCTGCCTAGGTGGTAAACGTCCGCCATTAAATCGTATACGGTTTGATCGCTATCCTCAGTTAAGAGCATCATTGAGGTATGACTGTTCTTATCTTCTTTCGCGCGTGAAATGTACGCTCCTAATCGGTCAAATGATTGGCTCATATATTCGTAGATCGCCTTCGAGTTGTCGATGTCAAAGGGAATAGGTTCGACTTCTTGGAATAGACGTAGCTTTGCGTGTCCTTTTAATTCGAGAGCGCGTTGGTATAGATGGATTGGTTCTGGAAGTGGGAGTCCGTCGATCGCCGATAGAATCGCGCCGAAATCTGAGCGTCGATAAGGGAATAGGGGCTCATTGCTGCAGTAGAGTTCAGCTATAGGTACTCCGGCCAGTCTACTCAAACGTACTGTATCAAGATGATGCTCGTCCAAATAGTATTTAGGTAGCTCTTGTCTCTAAAATCTGATGTAGCTTGACTGCTGTCGTTTAGCTCTCGTCATAATCGGGACCATTTTCCAGTGTTCTCACCCATAACGCTGAATCGAAGCCCAGCAGTCATCCACGACCTTTTTAGACTTAGAGCAGGAGCCGTGTTGGTAGGCGATTGCCTCAACAAGAGCCAATTTGATCGACGTTTGGTAGTCGAATACCGTTTTGTAGGGATGCTCAAAAGTACACGGCGGAGAGTGCAATACGTGCGGAGTATTGTGCAGAGAGCCGCCGAGCCACGCTATTTGTAGAAAGATATACTGCTCCGTCGACAGCTTCCACACGTCCTTGAGTGAGGCGACATAAGCTGCCTGCGGGACGTACTCAATTTTCGCGAGATCATTGCTGTCGAAAACGCCATACTCACCCAAGCAATCACAGCCAGCCGCATAGCCACGCAGGACAGCTTCTTGATATTCTTTTTTTTCTGGGTTGTATAACATGGCTCACCCACCAGTATGCACAGAAAGAAACAGGCCGGGAGGCAGCGGCTATTTATCGATTTCATGGCTATTACGACAACTACACTGGTGTGGCTGAATGACATGGGGTGAGGCTAGACACCTCGGGCTTTCGCCGGTCTGCGTGAGACCTCAATCGAGGAAACAAGACGGAGTGGCTTGCCAGGATCCTCGTCCCCCTCGTGCCCCTCGTCCGACAAGATAGAGTGGCTCCATGGACCAAGTGGAGATCGCCAGGGGTGTGCATATCGGCAGCGAGGTGCAGGCACGCCGGGCGCCAGCCGTTGCACTGTTTCAGGGGATTAGCACACCAGTAGGATGGTCGGGGATTTGTTCATACCTGGGGCATTGTACCTCGATGTTCATAGAGTGGCAATTCTGACACGCGAATGAAGACCGGAAATCCAAGTCCTGATACTGGTTTTCGTGTATATGCTCCCAAGCATGCTTTACCCATTTAACCCAGGCATCGTCTCCCGTAAATACTGTCCCACAATTCTTTTGATGACACTGTAACCTCTGCTTTTGCGTCGAACTGCTCCATGTTGAGGGCCAGGGAGGACTGCACGAAGGACGTTTCTGCCCGCGAATCACTCGCCTACTATATAGGACTACTCTTGACCATTTGTGCTGATACCTGAAGACATGTCGGCCGCGATAGTGGAGAGCCAAGAGCCCCTCAGGTTTCCGTGCTTCTGCGCTGGCCCAGTATGCTACGGCTACTCGGCTTTGTCTGTATGCTTTTGGTCTAGCGTAATCGCCTGAGGATTCCGCGGCCTTTTGATTGGTGCAGGTCCCCGTAAATAGGCTTGGACTCTACTCCAACGGCCCAAAACGAACGCGGTCGCCTTCCCCGACATAGCATGAGCAATAAAAAGTGGATAGAAAATGCAAATGCAGTTTTTACCCACTTCTTTATCCACTTCTACCTTGTCACGTGCTTTTCGCGCTTCCCATGTTGCCTCAGTCCAACTTTCCATTTACATGTCGTGCAGTATTTCAGCATGATGCAAGGTTCTCCAAAATGCAAGTGCTCAATAACGCAGAAGTCTTGCCGAAGTTTCTCAGCGATTACTGGCCGCGGTTCTCTAAAGTCACGAAACTGGCTTTTCTCCGCTACACCGCCGAGCTACTTCCCCAGCTAGAGCCCGAACTCTTCCACCAAAGGCTACACGAGCAGGCCGGCTGCTTCTCTCATGCGTTTCCCACGTCTTTGAAGCCTTTTCCAACTATAGCATCGAGGCAAACATCCGAGCCAATTTCTTTATCAACAACGATTCCCCAGCAAAACACCCACAGACAGCAAACGCTTTCAAAAGATGCGCCGCCAGCCACGTTATCTTCGCCGCGAGTGTCCCGGCAATCCAGCCCGACAGTGTCGCTGTCAACTACTCTGTCCTCGCCACGAGTCTCCAGGCAACTTAGCCCGACAGAGTCGCTGTCAACTACTCTGTCCTCGCCGCGAGTCTCCCGGCAATCTGTCTCTCAACAGTCACTACGGACCACTGTGAAACCGCCGCGACGGCATCGTGGGCAGAAGCGCCTTCCTAGTACACTGGAGGATGTGGGAGAAGTTCAAGCCCTCTGTAGATACACTGCAGAGCTATTCTTTTCCCGTCGTCGGACCGCCGGTTCAGACCTCTACTCTGCCTTGAAGAGTTGTGATGATGAGACGAAACTCTCCCAAATCGAATTTCGGGCACGCTGCTTCGGTCTTCGGCACCTTCAGCTCTATTTGGCCAAAAACGAGCAACGATCGCAATACGACCAATTCACTAAACAAACGGCGAAAGCCGCAATTGTGGATGCCGTGGCCCATCATAACCCGACTGTAAACAGATCAGAAATCACAAGCAACGTTGACCGGTTTATCTTATGTGCGAAGAATCTCCAACGTGTCTGGGACAAACATTCACTCAGCGCTGTCTTCTTGCTAGACGCCGGGTGCCGTTCTTAGTGAGTACATTCGACGTCCATTTCGCAATAGAACACTAACAAAATAGTTATGAGCAAAACCGGACGAAAGAGGTTCTCGATAAATTTGACAACAGACTGAGACATGACGGTGCGAAAACGACTGTTCAAATTGGGGAACTTGCGGAGGATGACCCTTGGAAGAAGCTCGAAACAACGGCCAACGAATATCTGCAATACATATTTGACGAGTTTGTGAAATGGTTTTATTGCAGCAATATGACTCCCCCTGCGAAAAGGCTGAAATTTTCGAACCAATGTCAACCGCCAACGGAGGCAAATTACGAGGCACAGCCTGATGAAGCAGACACTATCTCCACCTTTCGGTCAGACAACTCAATGTCACCACCAGGCGATCTCAACGCGGGCAGCGGATACGCACCCGCAAACGATGCGGCACAAGACGATAGCACCGGCAGTTGCGTTGATGACTTGCGCCTTGGCATTCCCACCGACTACTTCACGCTGGATAACATGCCATCCCCATATCAAGAGCTCACGCCAGCCAACGTTTACGCACCCGCAAACGATGCGGCACAAGACGATAGCACCGGCAGTTGCGTTGATGACTTGCGCCTTGGCATTCCCACCGACTACTTCACGCTGAATAACATGCTATGACCGCAAAATGAGCTCAAATGGGACGACGATCCCGCACACAGCAGACTAATTCAAATTAAAGAGGAGATGCGTATCAGAGAACCTTCTTGCACTAAATCGGCAAACGAGTTCTTCATCCTGACCTTCGCTTTACCGTTCTACTTTGAATTTTAACAAGAACAAGTAGATATCTTCATCACTTTCCAACCTCCAATCCTTGGTCAGGATGGGCGCCTCGTTTCTCGGCCATTGGTAGGGGATATCGGCAGGCGAGCGAATCTGGGCATAACGTTTTGCTTTTGAATCCGCCAACTCGATCGCTAGTACAGCGTCGGAATCCTTCACGTCGAACCTCCGGGCCTTGGTCGTCATGCGTGTGACTTCGACTTTTCCGGGTGGCAGGTGAAGCTGTCGTAGCTCTTTCTGTGTCCTAGTCAGTGTCTGCATGTACGAGGATAAGGGAACAGCATACCATCAAAGTTTCTCGTGACAGTGATTCGTATAGCCTTTTGCTTCCTTCGGGGTCGAGAACTTCACCCTTGGATTCTTTGTTCACCGTTTCTGCCATCTCTGAAACAAGTCTGACTTGGTCGTCCGTGAGGGCTATCGTACGGTACATTTTGCTTTGGGGCGTCAAAATCGTATCCGCGGGGTCAACAGTATCTTGGACCCCTCCGGAAGAATGATAAGCCGAGTCGACTCCGGCTGCCCCACCCATGGGGACACTCATGGTCAGCAGTTAGCAGGGAGAAGTTGGGAAAGTTAGATGAAGCGAGGACGATACCGGGCATGTGACATTATAAATACACAGGAGTACGCCTGACGGCCTGACGTTTGCTTCTCGGCCCACAAGGCTGTTCGCGGGTTAAACAAGGGTTCAGTCCAAGCCATGTCTGCCCTGGGTCTACGTGGTGGCGTGCATGTCCAAATCAATCGCTGGCCAGCCAGGAGCAATAACGGGGTCAACATGGCCATCCCAGAGCATACCCGAAACCTCCAAGATAATTTCTGCCAAGGATAATCATGAAAGAGGCGGTCTGCATCGGATACTTGTTGTTGGATGGTGCAGAAAGCGGCGAGATTTATCTTTACGTTCACAGCCACACCAAAAGTCCAGAGAAACAGAGCTCCTTGCCAGCAATTCGAGCGATGTGGTACACAGCTGCTAGAAATTGGAGCGTTTGATCCGCTGGTCGCTGATGTCCGATGGCCGCCCATCCTGGTCGAGCTAGGATGAGACAGGAATTGGGCGTGCAGGTGGTCGGCAATGACCTCTACGCTCTTTTCCATTCCGGGTGCTCTTCAACTCCCGCCAGTGAGTAAGAGCACGCAATACAAATGCCACCTGATATCTATTCTTATTAGCTACATATGATTGGGTTTTCGCCATGGTGCCCGCCACATACAGTCGGGTTGCAATACAGTCTATACCTCAGCCGATCCGGTACTGGACCATATAAGGACACCGCTGCGAGATCAGGAGTTACCTTATATGGGCGTTCTAGGATAAATTTCCCCAGAGACCCGGAAAGCATGTCACTAACATATGTCAAGTTTTCGCGGCGTGCCGTGAAGCAAGCTCACATCGAACATGCATCACGATAGCTTTCGGTTTCTTCTAGCTGGCCTGAGTTTCAGATTCTGGATTGCTCAGTGAGCGCTCACATGCAGACTTCTGCCTGTCGGCTGTCTAGCTCTCCGAGGGTCCTACTCTTGAGGCTGCAGGCCCAAATGTTGCGATGTTCAGTTCGCTGGAATGGTGGTAAAAGATATGCATATAATCTCGCGAGAAAGATCCCACCAAATATACCTAGTGTCAGGGCCCTCCTAGGGCAACTGTTAGAGCCCCTACGTTGTATGTGTCAGGTGCGTATGAGCACCTATATAACAGCGAGCTGCCGCCGAGCTCTCTACGAGGAGGCAGCGATAATTCCACATTTATAAAAATACATAAGGGATCATTACGTGACTGGAGTCCTCCGAGCGAAGCACCTCACACCTAGTTTGCTCAAATCCGTTTCAAGAATGAAATGCTCGGTGATTCCATCGTTGCGTAGAAGATGCTCCCACCCCCCTTTCCGAGGCAGGGGAAATGACAGGAGAACGTGGTCATTTCTTATTCCTTGCAACCTCGCGAAGACGATTGAATCGCAACAATTGCGGGAACCTTCCTATTCGTCTGGTGGCGGGAGACTAACGTCCGGCAGACTTTGACTTGGCTGTACCTGTAAAAACAACGCACAAACTCACCACCTCCACCTCTCCCAATGATTGGCACCTTTATCTGGCTGCCTTGTCCCACCTCGTCCCTCTTTCCTTCGTCCTTGTTTATTCCTTGTATCTTTTACCATTGGGACGGCCTCTAATTTCCTCGCTCGCCCACGGCCGTCATCACGGTTCTCTTTTCTCCCTTCATCTGGTAGTATTTCCTCGAATCGCAACTCTTCTCTCGACTTTTTCGTCCCTTCTTTACTTCTTCATCGCCGTTGCTTCCCGTCTCGGCCGCTCTCCCTCTGCACCTTCATCGCAGCCTTTCTCGAGCTCTGGAGGATCCACCCTTCGTTTTGCAATGAACTATACCGCCGGGCCCGCGGCCTCTTACCTAACCTAATCCTGCCAACAACACACCACCAAAAACCATCTCTTGCAGCCAACCACTTTTCCGCAAATCGCAAATCGCAAACCAAAAACCGCATCTTCTAAGCTCGTCTCTCCAGCCGCCCAGCCTCCGGCTTTCAGGCCCGAGGCCGCTGCTGACGGCCTCTCCTCAGCCCGCCTTCCGAATCCCTTGCCGCTTCCGCCCGCCCATCACGGCTGGCCCGACACCACATGCAACCTGCTGGCAAGAGGCGCAAGCTTGCCCCAAAGCTCATTGCCTCTGCGTCCTCTCCACCGGATCCTCACTCTGCGCCCTCGCGTTATCATAATTCTGTACATCCTTTTCTCTATGCTCTACGCCCTTCCAGTTATTACGCTTGCCAAGCCCAGCTGACTCTCCCTAGCCTCGTCCCTCTCGCATAGTTCCAGATGCGCCTCACCACAGCCAATGCCACGAACTTGAGGCCGTAGCCAGGCATTTGCACGATGCTGCCATGCTCATCAACCGACAAGCAGCGCGCCCCAATCCCTTTTACGCAAACGTCTCAGTCCTCTTGCTGGGCTGGCAAGATGACTCTGCCGCCCTCGACAACATTCGCGCCCTGCAACAGGTCCTAGTTTCCGACTACCGCTATCACACACAAACATGGCAGATCCCCAGCGTCGCAAACCCCAGTACAAAGCTCAGCATGCAAATAGGCTCATTTCTCGAGCATGCCCGTCCGAATCATCTTCTCATCATCTACTATTCTGGTCACGGCTATGTTAGTTCAGACGGCCAACGCTACTGGGCCTGGTACGTAATCCTCACAGCGAGCTGCAGATTCACCTTTCATTAAACCTCGCAGCTCTGACTATGCCACAGCTCCCCACACGACCATTCTGCCAGGCTGAAATGGGACGGGGTTCGCTGGCTCTTCGAAGACGCCCAGTACGATATCCTCTTCCTCCTAGACACGTGTGCCGCACCCGAGTCTATCGCCTCCAGTCATGGCCTCAAGCAGGTCATCGCCGCCTGCTCTGCAGAAACCACTCGACATCCCTCAGCCGCTTCCCGCGCATACTTCTCTCCCTGTCTGACCGCAGCCCTACGCCAATTAGGTCGTGCTACCTCGTTCTCTGCCCAGCAGCTGTGCCAGGAGATCAAGATTGCTTCTCAAGCAAACTCCAACTCCTCGCGCCGATTTCCCTCGCCCGCTTTTGAGCCCCAATTTTTCACCATGACGCCTGACCAAGGCAAGAGCATACAGCTTGCGCCTCTGATAGATTCCTCGTCCGATGCCGCCACACCAGAAGCCGCCCGCCCTCGAGATGCTCCACTCAGCCCCAAGTCCGGCCCGAAACTGAACTTTGACGAAGCTCGCGTTCTGGTTTGCACTACCTTCGTCGGTGATGTCGGTCCAGACATGTTGGCTCTCCACAGCTGGCTGCGGAACACACCACCTCTGGCCACTCAAAAAACCGTTGAGGGAATGTTTTTGGGTCCTCCGATAGTCCTGCTCATATCCATGCCCACGGCTCTCTGGGCTAGCGTCCAGCATGAGAAGATTTGGTACTACCTCGGTACCATAACCTCGCGCAACATGGTCTCTCTGTACGACAAGATGGTAGGGGCGTCCGCTGCCTCCGCCTCAGTCATCGAAGCGAACACGGCAACAACGGGTGCCCCAGGGTCCGCTCCAACGAGCGCTCATTCTCGTCCAGCGTCGAGTGCCCAGTGGCCATTGCCCGGATACGAGGTGAAAGATGAGCAAGCGGATGGACAAACAAGCCCAACAGCCAGACTGTATCAGTCGCTCGCTACCGGGGGACTAGGAATCAAACCACCAAAGGGTCCCGGTCCTGAGTCAGTAGAAATGCAAGAAGCTGCTGAGCAACTCAAGGCTCTCAGTCACGTCCGCCACCGAAGTGGTGACGCCGCTGCCAACACGTCTCCCCAGCGTGCCGCCCTCCCGGTTTCTATGCCAACCCTGCACCCTGGTTTCCGTAATCTAACCCGTTCAGAGTCGATGCCTGTGCTGGATAGCGGCACAGGATCCGCCGGTGCGAGGATGAGGCGCATGCTGGGAAAGCCTGACATTCGATGCGCGCATTGCAGTCATGCACCGTTTAAGGACTCGTCTTCCCTACGAAAACACATCGCCGCCGCCCATACGCGCCCGTTTCCCTGCGCGTTCTACTTTGCCGGATGTACGAGCACGTTTGGGTCTAAGAACGACTGGAAGCGCCACATTGCATCGCAGCACCTTTGTTTACAGTATTACCGCTGCTCTATCTGCTTACAAAACACGGTGGATGGAAAGGGCAATGAGTTCAACCGCAAGGATCTATTCACACAGCATCTGCGTCGTATGCATGCTCCCCTCGAGGTCAAAAGAGCTCTCGCCAAAGGTGACAACGGCCAGCAACAGTCAGAATGGGAAAGCTACGTCAGAGATATGCAAACTACCTGCCTTATCCAGCGACGGCATCCACCGCAGCGGTCTAGCTGCCCAAAGCCTGGCTGTGTAAATACCTTCGAAGGCTCGACTGCGTGGGACGAATGGACAGAGCATGTTGGTCGACACATGGAGAAGGGCGAAGGCGACAATCTTGGCGTCGACGACTTGCTCCTGCGGTATGCTCTCGACGAAGGCATCATTGAGCGAATTGGCGAGAAAGGATACAAACTCTGTCAGGTTATGGGCAGCAGCGGCACGCCTAGCCTGCCGGCCAGCCAAGCCATGTCAGAAACATACGAGTCGCAAGCCATGTCCACGCAAAGCTCAGCGCCGCCGCCACCGGACGATTCGCCGCCGTGGGGTGCCCGATCGCTTCCGTCACTTCCTCCTCATCCGCTCCATCCACCGCACGACCGAGATCCGAACCCGAGACCAGAATGAATCCGCAACTCACGCAGAACCAAACTTCCCCGAGCTACATCGGCCAAGTTCAATCGTAGTTTAAAACGTCTTACGCAAAAATGATCTTTTCTTGGTATCTCTCATTGCACATGTCGTTTATTATACGCTCAGCATGGCCGGAACGTTTGTCCAGTCTTTTTTCACCAATATTGCACATTTTCATCAAAGTGGTTGGGAAAGACCCAAATTTTGTTTTGTATCATACTTCTTCGAGCGACCCAATGTTGCCGTATTAACTACTAGTTTACCTCAATTTCACAAATCAATAACATACTGAGTTGAGTACAGAACGCACCCAATTTACTATAGAGCAAACGAGACACCCATTTTACATACATACCTTTTTACCTTACAGATTGCCATGTCCATGCGCAGTAGCATGAAAGTGCTGTACCAACCAGATGTCCAATGTTTTGCAGCCATTGTTCTTTGTCGCGGGCCTCCGCACCCCGCTCTGACTACGTGGGATGTTCTTCACAGCTGGGGCGATTAGCAATCTGGTGGGAGATGAACTTCTGAGAAGAAGTACCTATGCACAGGCAGGGGAGAAGTACCAACTCGCTGTCAACGAAACGGGCTAGCTGAGCCAGCACCTTGCCAGGCCGTAACATACACGACCCGAGAAGGTTGTGTGGGAAATGTGGCGGCTTCCAGGTCCCAGGATCAGCGGAGCAGTCCTGCTTCAGTACATGCACAGCCTCATCACGCCGGTGCAGTGTGTGTGCGTTATAGTTCCGGCAAATTGCCATGTCTGGCGGAACTAATTCGAAAATACACGACCTGGTAACGCCCCGCTCTCAATGCGACGGACGATGAAAGAAGGGAGGGGTCTGCCTTTGTCTTGACAGTCTTCCCACTCAAGGAGGCGGCTACGGTGGAGAGATCCCGACGCAAGTACGAGTCGAAGCCTGTCTATAGCGATACGTCAAACAGGAGGTAGTCGTTCTTCAATGTTACTCATGCCATTGGTAGTGAGGAAGGGCCAAAGCCACGTAAAGGGTGAAAAGCAGCTTCTTGTGCGCATCATTTTGAAGCCGGATGTGTTGTCTCATTGCTTCATGCAAGAAGTAGGACGAATGAATGATTGAACGACTGATTGATGACGGCAGGATTCTTCCCAGTCCGGCGGTTGCAGGGATAGTAGACTTCTCCCACTGTGCGGATTCGAAGGCGTGAGGCGCCTGCAGGATCCTGACTAGCACGATGGCTGAAAAAGTGCAAGGGGAGGGGGTAGAGCGGTGGTAGACGAGCATCACAAGAAAATGTATCTGTGAGTGACACCATTGAATGTCTGCAGCCCCCCTCGCATGGTCAGGGTCACCAGGCCAAACTCCATCCGAGCGAGAGTACTTGTATCCCAGCCGAGAGTGGAGCTGAAGCTTGTACCATTCCCGGAGCCAGCGGCAAATTGCCAAATATCGGGGGCCTACCTCAATCCTATGGCAAGTCTCCCATCCCTAGGGCCCTGGTTAGAAATGTCAGCCGCCATCGTCGCAGTCGGATATGATCCGGCGCACTCCTGTCGGAGTGTCAGTAGGTAACAGCGAGACAGCACAGCAAGGCAATTGCCCAGCTGTCATCTGCACAATCTTAGCTTACGCGTTGCAATGGCCATGGCTAGACTACCACAGCTCCTGAACAAAGCTGACGTGCAAGGTATTGATCCAACGGGGCGAGCTGCTCTGATCAAGCAGATAACCCTGCACTTCTGTGTCACACTTCCAAGCAACGCCTGTCCCTTTCCTCGCCGCCACAGCCCATTTGATTCAGAACACGGCCTACGCTTTATTACCCCGACTTTCTTCGACACACCCCTTCTTTTCCGCCATCACTACCTCTTTCTCATCAGTTAGATTCAGCGGTCTGAGTCCAGCCGTCACCCCTCCGCGAGCTGACTATCATGGAATCCTTTTCTTGGCTCGTTCCTGCACCGAATTTCCCGCACTTCTATGGACAGCGAAAATAAACGGGAAAGGGAGGTCTCTGAAGCCGGGGACGCTGCCCGCACGGGGCTTCAGGGATCGTCGGTCGCGCTAGTCCTTTTCGAGGGCGTGGCTGGGAAAGCGGAGACATTCACGGAAGTCAACGGAAAGGCCCATTTTTAGCGGGGTCCTCTTGACGGACTTCTCAAGCACCTGGGCAGCCGGGTACATTTGTTCGTCAAGATAGAGACACGCCATGAGCCATCAACCTATCAAAGGGTTTGAGATTCTGACTCCTAGTCGCTATGAAAGCGGGAAGGCGCTATCGATACGAGAAGGCCCTGCTTCGGCTGATGGACAGCCACCGCCACCACTACCAAGACGGGTCAGGTCCCTACTTTTAGCGACGAAAGAACACCAAGAATTCGTGCAAGAGTTTTTTCGGTTAATTTCCAGCGTAACATTCTCTCCGTTGGATCACAGGAAAGGCTTTATCGAAAATTTTGTCGGAGGATGGACGGAAAGACTGCTCCAACAGCTTCAACAACTTTCGCAAAACGTCGACGCCTCTGAGCCATCACAGCCCGAGCTACAAAGCTTCCCGTTGGCCTTTGTAGCGAAATTTGTGTCTTACGTGGTTGACAAAGCCGTGTCGGCTGGTTTTGATAGCCCCAAAGAGGCTGATGAACGTCTGAAACCATTTCTGCAAGCATGGGAAGGGTCCGGGAAGTCTGGTGGCACCATCTTAAACCTCAACACTGTCGCGAAGCGCAGGGGGTTATCTAGAAGGCTGTTTCAGTGCACAGCAGCGTGTTCCAAGTTAATTGGAGGTTCTGCGCACACCATTCCGTTATTTAGTAAGTATTCAAACAATTTCGTATTTCCCTACTCACCGTAACACTGTAACTATAGATGACAGCTGGTACACGGAAAATGACATTGAGGCTATCCAACAAGTGGCGTCGAACTCGATCGCAATACAGGATCATTCCTTTAACAGACTGCTAGATCCAAGTCATTTGGCGCCTGTACTTCTTTGGCCGTTGCTTTGGCCGCTGTCTGACACTTTCGAGCTTTACCCGGTGGTCGGAGGTACAAAAGCTCAGCAGAGACTGAGAGAGCTTCACCAGAATGCCACGGCAGAGATTCAAGGAATGAAGCCTACGGCAGATAACCCAACGGGGAAGAGTATTGATTATCCTCAGGGACGAAACTTTACCGAGTGTACGATCTTTGTGACAGCGGCCGTAGAGTATCTGGTGCGTGATTGACCACAGCCACAAGCAGCAAAAGCTAACCGCGAACAGAGATCGGAGGTACTGGCAGCACAATCTCAGCTCGACTTGTTTAGCAGCACGATTAGCACGAAAGCCGGCGACCCCCAGCTGTTGAGATTAGCCGGAAAAGGCACAGGGTTTCTGCCCGAGAACGTTCAGCTTCCAGGCCTTGCCTTATCGTATTCATCCGGAGTGGTAGAAGTCGTGGTTTCCGAATCGAATGCGGTGATTTCGTGGCCGCGGAGTGAAGGCCTCCTCTTTCGTGGCAAATTAACCAGCCGTAACGAGCACTACGCATGGTTGAGCATACAATCCTTCAAAACACCTCAGGAGCTTTGTTGTGATCTCATGAAAATGGCAAATCCTGAGAGTATTCGCGACACCTAGCTTTCAGACCCCGCTATGCATATTTCCTTGCTTATTCTTCTACATGAACTAGTTAGTCGAGCTCAATTCAAAAATCCGACAGGATCTTTTCCACTGCGCGTCCAGCTTCCCAAGCATGCACAATATCCTGGCTCACTATGCTCAGCTCCACGTCTAGTAGTGTGTCTCCATCAACTATCTATCTTGCTACATTTCTGTCTCCTGCACTATTCCAAGGCCCTCAGTATCTATATTGATATTATGCGGCATGGTTACATTAGTGTCTTGGCTGGGCAGGGGTGGCATGATGGACTTGCTTTGAGGACAACGCTCTTCTTTTCTGTTTTGATGATGCAACTGGAGAGACAATACATATCATGAGTCCGTGCGACCGGACAACCAGTCAGCGTTTCGACTAAGCACAGAGTGTCGATCCCGGTACTGCTTGAGCCCCCTCATTCCACGGGCCGAAGCTCTGTCGCCGATCAATAGGTGTCAACGCTGATTTAACCTTCTCAGATCGACCTACCACCTTTCCAACCTGTCCTACCCGCTGCCGCAGCTATCAAGTCTGCATAGGCTCTTCCCCACCGCTGTCTGTTGCTGCCCCTGCTGCAATCGTCCCGGCGCAACTTTGCCTGGCGGACGACTTTCAGCTTCAGCTTCCGGAGCTCCATCTCCCTGTTTTGTTATCCCCTACATATCCCTCATTGGTAGAAATGGCTGAAGGTGTTTGCATTTGGCTTGATTGCGCTCGGCCTGTCTTCTCCATGTTCCACTTCCTGCTCCGCTACTGTTCCAATCCATCCTGACACCAATTCAGCGGCCCAGTCACTCTTGCATGGTCAGGGGACCCAAGACCGCAGCCCATGCCACTGTAGACAGTCTTACACCAGCCTAAACAGTGGCGTACGCGCCACGAGTAGAATTTTCTTCCTGGATCGATGTCATACCCAAGCGGAGAAAGTCCGACGTGTACAGCCTTTTCACGTCGAACTGGTTGTGCGGAGACTTCAAAGTCTCGACCGCTTGCTCGCAACAGTTTGTCCATACCGGCCTGTGTGCGAAAATGAATGAGTACCGTTCCATAGTTGATCGTGTTTTTGCGCCGTAGCTTGGGCTCCGTTGATCCTTGCCCGCATCGAGGGAGGGGTGCTACGCTGATTGCGCAAATTGAGTCAATAATTCATCTGCAGCCCGTATACAAGGCGTTTCTGGCTCCACGACGGCAAAGTATTTGACACTGGTTTGCATACTACTGCAATTATGCTATAGTGCCAATATCAGACCAGGAGTCTCTCGAGCTCGTCGACAGCGCAGCTGGCGACAGTCGTATTGTGTTCAAAACATCAAGACAGGACAGAACGAGGGATCGTAAAGTTACAGGTATGGCAATTTGTCTTGATTTCTACTCGTGGGTCTCATCTAAATTATGCTTGCGAATCCACAACTAACAAGCGGCCTGCGATGAAGGGGTGGCCGTCTTCCGGACCGCAGTTGGTCTAACATGTCACATAGTCAATACAGACACTGCCCAGAGACCCCGCAAACGCTTGATTCAAGTTGAGACTTGTCCTCCAACGACTGAGTAGGAATAGCTGCCATTGACTCCGACGCCAGCCGGAACAGGTTGTAGTTGCTCACACCGACTACTTCGCTGCGCGAGCTCGCCACGCCGCCAATGCTGCACGTCGTGTGACAACTTCACCCCACACCTCCTCTGATCCTTCCTTCAATGGTGTCGCATGGCATGGTTTTACCACTATTCGGTCTGAACAAAGCAAAGAACGCTCGGCATGGCAGCCGGCCGCGCTGTGCCCCGGAGCGTCGTTATGCCTAGTAACATTTCTGCCGAGGAAGCAAGCCGCTTGCCATGATTACCCCTAGTCCCCGCAGAGGATCAATTCCGCCTCTGCTTGGTTGGTATGCTAAGTGATTCGACCTCTTGCTTATTACAATTTATCGTAGCCGGTTTTGAATATGCTTAGCAAATGAGACTGATGCAGTCGGGATCCGTCGTGGCACCATAGATCACTGGTCATGTTTTTCTCTTCCGCCATCAATAACAACCGCGTTGCAGGATTGAATCTTTTCATATCAAGGTGCATCGTTGCGCTTTCCTGCACTAGCCCGTTGACCACTGTGAATGCCATCAGGCACACTGTACACGATCCCGACAGGCCTTCGCAACTTCCTGATCGGCGTTCTCTGCGCTAATCACACCTTCTTCACCACCATTTGCATGCTGTTCACGACTCCTGAGATATCACAGCATTCTTCATCAAGTCCGTGCATTACAGTACCGCCTGCTGCTCACTGCACCAACTGGCCCACCTGCTACACCTTTGACCTGGTGCTTCAGCTCCTGTGCGTACACCGAATATCACCGCGACTTCTTTATTTGCCTTTGGTCAGTCGCCTGTTCCGGTCGTCTCGGCTTCGCCTGATTGCACGGCCGTTTGCTTCGGTTGGTCCTCGCTTGACCCTCGGCCAGCAGCTACCAACTCTTTCCCATCGCACCTCTCGCCATTTCACGCTTGACAATTTATGTTTTACAAACCATCGTCTTAATCAACCTCCCAAAGCTAAGCGCCAACATCGTTGCAGCTTGCCATGGCGGCCGCTGACAATGTACCGCCTCCCCAACACCGACTTTCCGATCCGTCTATACCTGCCTCCGATCTGATTCTTCGCGAGACGCAATGCCTTTACTCCTTCATACTCCTCGTCGCGTTTTTATCATGTATTGCATGGTACAGTGTGTGTAATGCCAAGAAGCAGGAAAGCATCGTGCAATCGATTGTAAAAGGCCCAGGCGGAAAGCCCTTGCCCGTCACGAAGAAGACCAAAGACGATGGCGAGAGGAAGCTTGGTCCGCAGTTTAGCCCAGCTACCAAAACTTTCTTTCGCTATCTGGCTGCAGTCATTTTCATCTCCTATGTGGCGACTAGCACCTTCATCTTCAACCATGCGTTCTATCATGACAACGCTTACAAGTGGTCTAAGGACGGTCTCTCCTGGGCTGGTGAGTGGACTGTAGTCCACGTTATCGGCTCTACCTTTTTCTACCTCTATATCATTTTCTCTCTTTTCGACTGGAAAGAGGGTCCGAGCGTCGCCCACCTCTTCATCTGGGTTTTGGGCCTAGTTGGCGAGGTCATTTTCTTCTCAACAACTTTTACGACTGCCGCCGCATGCCGCCTTACCAACTCCAGATCGCAAACGGGGGACAATGACTGCTTCGATCGCTGGATCAAACTCGACCTGGTTCTCTACTTTGTCCGCATCCTCCATCTGATAGCCCTGATTGGGGTTTTCAGCTTTGCTTGGTTCGGTAAAGTACGGGCAAAGCGCCCTGAGAAGCTTGAAGACGGCTTCGCCCATGAGCACACCCCGCTTCTGAGTGGCCATCAGAGGTCATATGACTCTCAGAGTGGCGATGTCAATACAGCAGGACCGAACGGACGCGAGTCATACTGTCGACGGCCTCGAAGCCGGACCATGTCCAACGCAGCCAATTACTCAGCGCCCAGTTCACGCAAAGACGAACACACCGCGTTTTATCGACCTCAAAAGCTTCCCCACAAGACTTGGTGGGAGTATGTCCGCGGCTATTCCCTGTTTTTTCCCTACTTGTGGCCCAAGGATTCCGTCATGCTACAGCTGCAGGTCCTTGTATGCTTCATTCTCGTTATTATTCAGCGCATTGTCAACATTATTGTCCCGAACCAGATCGGTGAAGTCGTCAAGCAGCTCAATCATGCTATCAAGGAAGTACAGGATGGACAACCTTTGACTATGGAGCTCTTCCCTCTTCGCGCCTCTCTGTTTCTTGGGCTTCTCTGGATTCTCCAGGGCATGCTCGGGCCACTTCGATCCTTGCTCTGGATACCCATCTCCCAGTACTCTTATCGTGGCTTAACAACAGCTGCTTTCAACCATGTGCATTCTCTCAGCCTGGACTTCCATCTTTCGAAGCGCACTGGCGAAGTCCTGTCCGCACTCAACAAGGGCTCTTCCATCAACTCTTTCCTCGAGCAGGTCACTTTCCAAGTCATACCAATGCTCTTTGATCTGATTTTGTCTATTAGTGTCTTCTACTACAAATTCGGACCGCTCTACGCTCAAATCAACCTTGTAGATTCCTGCTGGTACCTCTACATGACAATCAAGATGGCATCGATACAGCAGTGCTCTCGCAGGGCTTCCGGGATCAAACCACAAAGTGTCAGGTTCGAGTTTGGTAGGATGCGGCAATTCTGGGAAGACATGAACCGAACGCCACCCGCTTCTTTGAATTCGATGCCCGTCAACCTCAGCGCAAGGCTGCTGACATATTGTGGCTGCACTTTCACGTGAACGATACATCCCCAACGTAGCTTTCCTACAACAAATGCCATCCCTATATCGAGAAGTAGATCGCCCGTGCGGGTTCGTTGCTCAAGCGCCTGGACCTTAGCTAGCAACTCAGCTGGAAAAAGCACGGACGCTTTCGATGGTGAGAGGCCAAGAAACGCCCCGAATGTATCTGGCGCTTTTGTACAGGGTTGAACCGCAAGCATCGTCGCCGCATCTACCACTGGCGCAATAGCATAGCGCACACCATAATGCTGCGTCGCCGCTCCCGCCAGGGCCATGTTAGCTCGGCGCTCGTCGTTATGCCGTATCGCAGCTCCTATCAATTTCCTCTTTCCAGGCTTTGAGCCTGGCGGAACTTGAGACACATAGTTTGAGTCGATGGTTTTCGCGAAGTTGTCGACGAACTCCATTGCTTTTTCATTTTGCATTGTTTCGAGAAGGGTGGTGGCTTGCTTTCTCACCGCCTCTGGGTGTTTTGCTGCCTCTTCTTCAAGGGCTTTCATTCGCTTGTACAGCTTCGATTGCCCGCGGAAGGTGCCGCCACCCTCGACGCTGACTCGGTTGATGTCGTACATGACCCATGCTGCAGTGCTTGCTCGGAGAAATTCACGGCCGCCCTTCGTCTCTTTCCCCTCTTTAGCTTTGCCATATCTCTTCTTCCCATCCCTTGGCATTCTCTGACGTTTTCTCACCGCTTCTAGCATCCATGAAAGCTTGTGAGGTTCAGATGGTTTAAAAGCAGTCATTTTTGTGCCCATATGGAAGAGAGGATTAGAAGGTTTAACAGAGAACGGTAACAAAGAAGAGGGAACAAGGAAGAAGGAGAGGTAACAAAGAAGAGGTAACGATAGAAGGTAAGTAGGAGGAGGTAACGTAAAAGCTGAGAAAGAAGGATCAGTCGCAGCCGCTATTAAATTCAGATCACCTGCGAGATTGATTCTGCCACTGGAGAACAGCTGCGCTCCAGTGGCGCAGTTCATCTATCACGTGTCCTTAGAGCGGCACGCGAGGGAAGAAAGAGGACATAACTATAGGAGGTAAGAGACAACATCACCCCACACCTCCTCTGGTCCTTCCATCAATGGTGTCGCAGTGCATGGCTTTACCGCTGCTCGGCCTGAACAAAGCAAAGAACGCTCGGCATGGTAAGCCGGCCGATAGAGAAGCTGCAATGAAAGCAAGCCAGAGGAGTCGATATACTGACCATACTATGTAAGGTATATCAGGTATTGGGAAGATATAACTGGATTAGCTACATGGAGCCAGATATCCAATCGGAAGTGGTGATCCGCGACAGGGAGGGGTGTGTTCTAAGAAGACAAAATACGCAGGTCTACTAATTTCGATGGCCGGGGCGAACACTCTGTGCCTTTTTTCTCGGAGTCAGACAACCATGGACGGCGTGGTCAGGATCGTGTTAGTCCCTGTCATCAGCCGAGGAATCCCCTCCCTGAGGTATTTAAGCGAAGTGCCGCCTCTCAAGGCAGCCGGATGCCATGCAGCTTGTTCGCAGTCAAACCACAATTCCCTTTTCAATTCAATGGCCTGCGGTACATCCGAGACCACGGACCAGAGAGGGGCATACGACACAACCGGCGTTCTAAAACCTCCGCCGCCACCCAAGCCCCATCGACGAGATGCGTTCTAATACATCGTTGATCTTATTGTGCTTGTCCGTGGCCATTCACCTCTTGTCCGTTGTCATCTTTTGTTCCGTATTTCGGCAAAAAATCAAAAGCATTCTGGCGGCTATTCTTGCAGCCCTAAGGTTGGGGGAAAGTCACCGGGATAGAAACAGTGATCTCACTCCACTTGGACCTTATTGTGGCACCGGCACCATGCAGGTTCTTTCGGACATTGAAAATCCCAGGACGCTGCCGAGGCCAGGTTATGGTCACCAGCTGGTGCCTGGCCGTGCCTTTGAGGGCAATGGCGGGTTTCAAGCGCTGAGGGAGCCGGACGCTGTTTACCAACCTACAATTGTGGTACGACGGGAAACATCCAAGCCGGTCCCCGCAAGCATGAGAAATCTCACTGCGCCGTCAAGTATTGCGAAGGAGGGAAATTGGATCTGACTGGGATTCCGTCGCTTTCGCAGCGGATGGATCGTCGGACGGCTATCAGGGAATGGGAGACTTCCGGTCACGTTTTAAATTAGTTTTGAATTCAATTCTGTTCCGTTCAATTGTGCTCAATGCTGGTCTGCCATGAGGGCTTTGGGGATGCTGAGATCAACACGTGTGCTACCAGTTGGACATAATGAGATTGATTGGAATGATGAGATTAATTGATTATACTTTTGAACATTTAATTAAGGGCTCAATTGACCGTAACATCTTCCCCCTTACAACTCCTCAGTTTGCGAGCTCGCTAGCTCATGATTCGTTTTCTTTTCCTTTGAGGCTCATATGGGTCAGTAGAGTTGTGGAGAAGTAGGCAATGCTGAAGGTACCTTGGACAAGGATTTCGACGTTGGGAGGAGGGTCTTCAGCAGGTTCGCACCGTTTCTTGCCATGGTCTGTTAATTCTGAGCGCTTGGAAAATTTCTTATCGGGTTTAGATAGGATCAGACAGTATATCTGAAATGATAGGGGGTACAAATCTCACGGCATCTTGCGCACCACCAAGGCTTCTTTGCCATGCTAGTGGCATGAGATGATATTTCTCTTGAACAGCCTAAAGTGCAACAGGATGTCGATGTGTGGGGGAGTAGAGAGGGCCGAGACTGCAATGTATTAGCAATGAATTAGGATGACACAGAGGTCGACTGACATCTACGGCCCCGGGTTCCTTCTGTGAACAACGGCGCAGCCTCGAATGCTGAAGACATCCATGCGAAGATCAACCGCATCGAAAGCGACGTGAACAGAACCAAGGAAGAGGTGTCTAGCCTCATCCATCTGAGGGAGACCGGCCAGAAGATCGCCCGCCTGGAAAGTGACGTGGACGAAATCAAAAGGGAGCTGGCTGGCCTCAGCAGCGTGCGGGTGACCCTTGCCGAGCTCCAGGCGCAGCTTCAGATGCTTCTGAGTACTTACGTGATTCCTGGCCAGCTCCCTGCCCAGATGTATCCTTCCGCACAGGTATCTCCCTACCACTAGGTGTTCGGGCCAACAACTTTGGCCATTACCAGTCGAGCAGTCCGGGGGCTACATAGAGAATTGGTGCAAACCTACAATAAACTCTCAGCCGTTCTACACACATTCCCCGCTCTTCAAAATGGTATTCGGCATGTCATCGGTGATGGTTTGCACCGACTCCAGCGCTGCCTAACGGACAGCCACCCTCCGCCCCTGGCGGCAAGGTGCCACCTCTGGTTGGCCTCGGCCCCACTGAGCTAGCCGTGTGGACACAACAGTCGCAGACGCTTGTTTCAGGCACCTCAGGTTGCTCTCCCAACTCTTGATTTGACCAACGTGAATACATAATATCGCCGCGAGTGGTTGAAGCCAGGGCGAGCATTGACCTCATTGCTCATATCATAGGCCTGTTTGCGCGGTTTTCCTGCGGACCTGAGTTGGTCGACCAAGTAGACTCCCGAGGCATCGACCATCAACTCCAGCCACTGTGCCTCGGCCAAGCTACAGGGGCCGCACTTCAGCCTCGCGGGCACCGCCTACCAAGCAGCCTTCCTGGAGCAGGTCATGCATGGGCTTGGCGGAGCGCACCGCGACCGGTCGTACGAAGCAAGAGATTTCCTTGGAGTTCCCGCTATGGGTGGCATGCCTGCCAAACCAGCCCGCATCATCTTTCGAGCGTACCTCACAGAGCTGGCCTGTCAGAACCAGAATCAGGGATGCGAGTCATGTACGCGGACCCGCTCCCGTGCAGACGACAGACGACATCCGCTTCATGAACCTCTCTCACTGGCTACCGAGTAGCTGGCTCAACGAATGGCAGCACAAGAGTGTTGCAGCTGCAGAGTTATGGACCAAGGGTGACTCAGGAAATTGAAGAAGCTGTGCAGACAACTTTGAGCACCTTGAACACCGACAGTTGAGTCACAGTCACCGCCAGCCTATGGCCGTGTGCGCGACCGCGGCCTGGCGTCTACGCAATCGCTGGCTGCGTCTGTCCATCTACGATCGCTTCCCCGCGACCCATCCGCATCGCCGTGTCTCTCTAGTCGCAAGATCTAACGGGCAACGCTCTGGCAGTAGGCGTTGCGTCCACCATGGGGCGCCCGCCAGATCGTCGCGGATGCCACGCAAACGAGTCTCTACCCTGTCGGCCACCCAAACCGCTACCAGAGACCCGTAGGCGTTGCTGGGATGAGACTCAATAGTCGTGCCGAGCACCCAGCACCCCTGTCCGTACCCTGGCCTGTTCATTCGATCAGCAGAGAGGGGCGACCTCAACAAGGTGGCTGTGTGAGGTAAAACGAATTTTGCTGTGAAGGCCGTGGAAGCCTGGCGCGCGTATTGGTGGTGTGGGTATAAAGAATCTGGTGGTGGCGGCGTATTGGTGGTGTGGGGTAAGGAACAAATGGTCTGCTGTGTGGAGGTCACGAAAGAGCAAAGCGCGCTCGCAAAGCACGGACTTGAGTTCCGGGCCGGCCCGAGGGGTAGCCTTTGCAGCCAAGAAACATCAGACTGGCAACGCGTTGGCGTGCTGCGAGGCCACACCACTTGCTGATTGTCAAAGCCGCAGCGGTTTCTGTGCCTGAACAGGATGGCAGCGTGGACGACGTTTGGCGTAGCAAGGTGATTGCTCCCCTGTCACCTGATGGAGCCGTCACGCATGCACGTCGGTCTGCATCCCTGGCGAATGGCGGACTATGGACGTGATCCCAAGCTGGCACACAAGCCCATCCACGGTGGGAACTTTTGCGACGCGCCCCTTACTTTACTCTGGAGGCGCCGAGGCCCAGAACGGAGGGAAGGCACGGAGGGTAAGGCGATTGTGGCGGAGCTTGGACGCACGACGTCCGGAGTCACTTTCTACGCCTCCGGCATGCCTGTCCAAAGCTCAGCGTGCGCCAGAGGAAAGAAACGGGCGGGCGCTCCAGTTGCCCTCTACGGACCCACGTCGAGGAAGCGAGCGCAATTTCCGTCTCACCCACTCTCGTGCAGGGGCGGCGCTTCGTCAGCGTCTCTCACTGGTTACCGAGTATCTGGTTCACGAATCGCAGGATAGAAGTGCGCTGAGGCTGCAGCGCGCAGTTTTCTTGTGGCACAGGGCAAACTTCCAACTTGGCAGCGCAGACCGCAGAATATACGCTTCACGCAGCACTACGCTTGTAGTTCGGCCGTTGGCAGCCCAGAATGTAAAGTACGGCAGCGGCACGACGTTAAACAGCCGTTGCAGTATCATGAAATCTACGATCTCTTCCCCGCCAGCCGTCCGCACCACCGTGGCTACAGGCGACAGGTCCGCTTCTTTAGCAAGTTGCCTCGCCTCGAATGGTAAGGCTGGCGCTAGCGCAACCGACCCACAAAGCCATTGTCAGGACGGGCGCAAAACAGAACAAAAAAAAAGAAGAGGAAGAAAAGCTCGGACTTGAGTGTGCTGGCTAGTAAGAGGAGCTATAAGCAGCGGCGGGAAAACTGGAGGAGCACTTTACGGCTTGTTGACTGTGTGAATCGAATGGTGAACCGGGCGTAACGATACAGTTGCGGCGCCTCTCCCAAGATGCCATGGGCGAAGGAGATGGACTGGTCCAGGCAGCTGCAAATGCTGCGGTTTGTCATAACTGTTGTAGAGGAAACGTTGAAAGTGGAGCTGAAAACATTTTCCACGTCTAGATACGGTCACGCAAGTGGCGTACATAGCTGTCGACGGCGCTCGGCGTTTTCCGCGATAATGCATCACGGTATTCGTCGAGCAACATTATCATAACAATTCCCGACAGGGCCGTGTACTCTCGCAAATTAGGTAACTTGCAACAGAGAACATACAGACGAAATGTTCCCTCTCTGATATATATGGACGGATTTGGCTTCACCCGGTACATGCGTCCACAATCATGTCGACGGGGACAAACGTAAATAGTAGTGAAGTAATCATCCCCAGCTTTCATTGAGGTCCCTGTCCTAGTACCCTTTTGCTGTGGAAAACGGGTGCGGCGCAGGGTGGCCGAGTTTACCGGGCGACCCCGTGTCCCCCTTGTTGTCTCTCCTACCTACTAACAAGAAATAGCACTGTTGGACCATGCCGCCACGACGGTACTGGAACAACAATAGCAGCCTCTTTGCTGACCTTCTACACTTTTCTTCCATAATGTGCTTCTTTGATCAAAAGGTCTGGGCCTGCGGCTTCTGGAAATGGGGTACATTCCGGCAACAATGCACAAAAGAGCGCAGGATCGGCTACACGTGCGGGCTAAAGCTGGTCTATGAGGTTGTCCACGAAGCCGATACATGCAGCTTGTGCGCGACTATCGCTCGAAAACGACGTCGGCTAGTGAAAATGGCCGCCGATATCTCTAGATGGCAACAAGAAGGACGATACCCGGCGACCGTCGAAAAAACAAAGCGGATGATGATGAGTTTAGAGGGCGCTATTTTCGCTCTTCTGAGGAGGCATGCGCTCTGCGATTCGGTTTCCAGGAAGCACGCCGTGAGAAGCGGGTAACACATTCAAGTATCATGCCTACGTATCGCCTGGCGTCTTGCCGTAAGTTCAACAGCGCCATGTTTTCTTGTCGTGTGTTAATGGATTACAGCTTTCTCCTTCTATCTTGGACTAGAATTGTTGGCGATGTTGGACAAAACGAGCAGGGAACGCGTCCACTGCGTTCAGACTATGCCTCCGGTGATGCATGGAGTGAATGCACCAAATGTCGCATTTTTATTTCATTTTATTTTTCAGCTTTCAAAAAGCCCGCCACGGACAAACCCCAGATCTAGCTTACACAAATATTCAATACATATTAGAGGCGAAAAGTACAATACAGTACTTGTTCAATGTCGTGGTTAGTGCAGTTCGGGAACTGCTGGTCTTGTACCTTCAAGGCGTACGTGCCAGAGCTGCCCTACACTCCGCGGTTTCATGGCCTTGCGCCTCGCCCACACCTATTCGTGATTGTTGTGGGAACATGTTTGTCTTCCTCTTTGACTCCTTCTTTCCGAGCAATCACCGAACGAGCAATGCCGCCGACAGGGGAACTTTTCATGGTTTGAGTTCAGAGGGCTGTGGCGAACGTTCACTGCGGGTGATGCTTCCTATTTTGGTTGTATGTAGCGCTCCGTGGGTACTATGCATGGTAGCGCAGTTCTTTGACCCACGCAGCTCTTGATTCAGAGGGTTGCAACTCCCCCTCACATGGTGTAAATTTATCCAAAGCGCCGGCAGAAATAGCAGTTGGTTGGAGGAGTTGAGTTTCTATCCTTTGCTGGATTCAGTCTGAATGGGTCGCATCATACAAGATCAAACAGGCTCAGCGCAAACCGTCCATTCGATGAGAATCCGCGATTGTTTGATCTACGACGTCAATGACTTCGCCGTGTGCCAAGCCCCATCCGTTTTACTATGGCACACATCCCTGCTGAGTTAGGAGACGCCGCCGCCAAAAAGCCTTGTCCGAAGCTCTCGCTCAGGACCTATTGTAAACGGCGCAGGCTTCGCGAACTGACGTAACATCAATTGACCAGCTGAGTGATCAAATGCCACCAACAGTAAGCGACGCTATCAAATTAGTACTTCGACGGCGTTAGCCAAGCCCTTGCCTGCTCGATGGCAGACGAGCCAACACTCACATCCGCTTTCTGAACGTACGCCTCTCACTGCTTACCGAGCAGCTGCTTCAACAAATAGTAGCACAAGAGCGTGTCGGAGCTGCAGCTAGTTGGCTGGGAGCGGCACAGAAGAAAGCTGCAAATTTGATCCTCCAGTAAAATTGAACATTTCGCAGATGCAGCCTCATGTCAAGTCGCAACTAGTGCTAACCTACGGCTGTGTGTGCTACGGCGGCATGGCATCTACACATCGTTTGCCCCGGCCGGATATCAACGATCTCTTCCCCGCGAGCCATCCGCGTCGCTGTAGCTCGACAATCGACAGATCCGGTGACAAGTCTCTCGCAGGCGTCGCAGATCCCCCTCAATGATTTGGTCGTAATCAGTCACCGAGACCCAGACCCATAAACGTTTGGCCGAGCATCCCTGTCCACAACCTGCCTGATCGCATGCTCGCTCAGCGGCTGGCAGCTAGGATGGTTCTTCGGCGTCGGAGGCATTTCTGCGACACCGGGTGCAGTGAGCTCTTCGCTGCGGCATGTCCGTCGTAGGTCTGGGTGACGCATCCAAGGCTCCTGGCATGTTTTGCCCAGTCACGGGTGATTGGAGTAACTGTGTCGCGCAAGGCTGCAGGGATTGCTCGCGCCATGCAGGGGGAGGGGGG